GCCCCTTTAAAAGAAGGGAGAAAGAAAGGGAAGAAAACACAAAGGAAATAGAGAAATTCACTAAATCCTTAAGAAAGCATGGATACGCTGGTGGAACAGTGGAACAGAGGTTAAAGCAGCTGAAGGTGAAACTCACCAATGAAGTTATACATATTTCATTGTTAGAAAGAATATAAGCATCTGTACTTGATTGACATTAATGTGATCAGAAGCTTGAAGGGATCCCACATAGGAAATAAATGGAAATTGTGGTGCTATAATATTCACTTTTCTTTTTTAAAAATGAGAATTGCTCATATACTCCAGCGGCTTGAGCACACACACACACATAGGAAACATAGAATTCTAGAGTTGGAAGAGATCTCAAGGGCCATCCTGTCCAACTCCATTCTGCCATGCAGGAGCACACAATCAAAGCACTCCCAATAGTTGGCCATCTCTGTTTAAAAACTCAAATCAAAACACAACTCAAGAAGGATGTTGTCAACCTGGAGCATGTCCAGAGAAGGGCAACCAAAATAGTGAAAGATGTGGAAACCATGCCCTATGAGGAGAGACTTAAGGAGCTGGGTGTGTTTAGCCTGGAGAAGAGGAGGTTAAGGGGTGGCATGATAGCCTTGTTTAAATAGTTGAAAGGATGCATGCTTTCTGGTGTTCTGGAGATTAGGACACAGAACAATGGATTCAAGCTACAGGAAAAGAGATTCTACCTAAACATTAGGAAGAACTTCCTGATGGTAAGAGCTATTTGACAGTGGAATATACTGCACCAGAGTGTGGTGGAGTCTCCTTCTTTGGAGAATTTTAAACAAAGGCTGGATGGCCATCTGTCAGGAGTGCTTTGATTGTGAGTTCCTGCATGGCAGGGGGGCTTGGACTGGATGGTTCTTGTGGTCTCTTCCAAGTCTATGATTCTATGTCTAGTGGTAGTAATGTATCAGCTACTGAGAAATCTTTTTTGTGCTTCCTCCAAATGTTCATCCACATGTTCCTCTCATCATGCCTTTCACTGTGCCTGGCTGGCTAGGATTGATGAGAAGGGGAGAGCTGAAGGACTGCAGGCTCTCAAGATCTGCTTTATATTATAAAAGATCAGCCGGACAGTTCTCTTGAAAAAAGATCCCTGAAGATGGGGCAGAATCTCTGTTTGCTCAAAAGTTGACAACTTCCAGCTGGAATCATACTTTCTTTATTAATTGTTATTCTTGAAGGCTGGTATTGCTCAAGAAGTCAAGAAGATCAGCCATGCATGCTGGTATTGAAGATTTCTTTCCTGGCATGTCAGAAGAGCAGTGAAGCTTAGAGACGACCTGCTCTTCTGTTTCAGCTTCTCTTCCCCCACTTCTTCCACAATATTTATAAAAACCTTCAGTCTCACTCTGAAATTCTTTATCTGTTTTCACATGTCTTAGTTCATATGTTAAGGAGTGTTCCACTCCTACACATATTTGCCAACACAAAAGAGAGCTGAACAGTGAAGAAAAAGAAATCCCGCCATCTACTTTCTTTCCTTGAACTCCTTTTCTACCAACAATGAACTCTTATATATTCAAGCTGGGTTATAACCTAATAATAATATAATATCAATGAGTGACCATTTTGCCCATTTCAAGCCTTGTGCTAATCTGCTGAAGTGCAAAGAACAAAATGTGTGAGAACAGCTGCTAGGGACTTGTGGTCCAACCAAGGGGATTTAATCAATCAATCAATCAATCAATCAATCACTGATACCGTATTTTCCGGCGTATAAGACGACTGGGCGTATAAGACGACCCCCCACTTTTCCAGTTAAAATATAGAGTTTGGGAAGAGTATGACTTCCAAAACTGTTGTTGTTGTTGCTGTTGCTGTGCACCTTCAAGTCATTTCCAACTGATGATGACACTAAGGCAAACCTATCATGAACCTCCTTATACCCAGCGTATAAGACGACCCCCCCCACTTTAACCCCAGATTTTGCAGGTTAAAAAGTAGTCTTATACGCCAGAAAATAAGGTAATTAATTAATACCATAAATATTAATTCTGATTCACTATTAATAATACCCACTTATTAATCTTAATATTATCGTTATTAAGTAATAAATGTTTTATTTATACTTAATAAGTATTGTTGTTGTGTGTCTTCATGTCTTTTCTAACTTATGATGAACCAAAAGCAAAGGTTTTGTTTGGCAAGGTTGTTGAAAGGAGGCTTGATTTTGCGTTCCTCTGAGGCTGAGAGAGTGAGGCTCGCCCATGGTCACCCAGTGGGTTTCCATGTCTGAGTGGGGATTTGAACCCTTGTTTCTAGAGTCATAGTCCAACACAAACCAGTACGCCACTCTGGCTCACAATTGATTACTATCTCTCCTTATATCTGAGACTCTCAGGGCAGCATGGAATGAAATCAATTTAGAATAATTTTAAAATAGTGACAATTTAAAAATGAATAAAAGCATATTAAACCATTTATCACTGAAAAAAAAGACAATTTAAAGCCAGTTAAAACAATTTAAAATTGCATTAAGCATAGCATATGCACAAATTAGAAAAAGTCAATTGGGTCCTAAAGTGTTTGATAAAAACCCATGTTTTGGCACTAGTGCCTTCCTCCTACCATTTTAGTCTCCTAGTTTGGACTGCAGACCACCCCTAGCCCTAACACTGACTATTAAGTGGAACTTGGAAAGATTCGTTTTCAGGGTCACAACTCCTAGAATCTGGGGATATTAGGAGCTGTAGTCCCTAAGCAATTTTTCCTAGCCTATGGTAATAAATGGCATAGTCAGCATGATTAATGGTTTTAGCATTGGACCATGACTCTGGAGACCAGGGTTTGAATCCCTACTTGTCAATGGAAACCCACTAGGAGACCTTGGGCAAGTCACACTCTCTCAACCTCAGAGGAAGGCAAGGGCAAAAACCCCTTTGAACAACTCTTGTCAAGGAAACCCTGTGGTAGGCTTGTCTGAGGGTCTCCATAAGTCAGAAAGGACTTGGAGGCACACAATAAAAACAAACATTGACATATAGAATTCAAAGATATAGTTATGTTAGTCTGTAGAATCAATACGTAGAAAGATTTTGTAGCAACTTTGAGACTAACTGAAACAAAAAAGGTGGCAGCATGAGTGTTCGTAGACCTAAGTCTACTTCCTCAGATGCAGTGGGGCCAGGGGAAAAGGAAGGATCCAGGAATGACACCAGTATTCTTCCAGAGCCTGGTACCTTCGGCAGTCCAAATGCTGACACCAGATCTGGATGGAATGGGCTCCCTTTCCTGAGTAAACCAGCATCAGTCAATGAAAGAATGGAATGGTTTTACTAATGGCTCATCTTCCACTGGAGTCCCCTAGACCGTCCTAGACCAACAGAGAGCAGATTTGAAGCAGCTTTGAATCTCATTTGGGAGAAAGGCAGGATATAAATTCAATATATAAACAAAAATAAAATGCTACTTTTTGGGGGTACTGAAATCTGTACCCTCAAGTCATTTCTGACTCAAGTCATTTCATGACCCTAAGTTGATGCAATTAAGTGTTGTTCAGAGAGGTTTTTGCCATTGGTGTCCTCTGAGGCTGAGAGTGTGATCTACCCAGGGTCACCTAGTGGATTTCCATGGCTAAGGAGGGATTCAAACCCTGGCCTCCAGAGTCCTAGTCCAAGCTGTAAACTACACAACACCAGATTTGACTGAAATCTACCATTGTGGAAAAGATACTAGAAATCAGAGGCTTCTGAATCCAGCTGTGTGTATCCACACCACAGAATTATAGCACTTTGATCCCACTTTAATTGCCATGGCTTCTTCCTACAGAATTCTGAGATTTATATTTCCATGAAGTATTGGAAGAGAAGTCTAAGTTCCTCGCCATTAAACTGTAAATCCCAGGAAGTCACACTCTCTCAGAGTCTCAGGATATAACCATGACATTTAACATGGAATCAAAGTGGAATGTACAATACTCAGTTCAACCCCATTTTTAATCAACCAGTCATCTCACCCAATGATACTCTAAAAGCATAAAAGTTGGGTGACGCCATCATCTTAATGGCTGGAATTTTCTCCAAAGAGAAAGCTGTAGTTTGTCCCAATGTGTCATCTTTCTTAATCTCACTGATGCTCTGTGGAAGTGAATTCTGTTGCCACTAAACTGCAAATCCTAGGAAGTCACACTCTCTCAGCTTCTCAGGATATGCCCATGACATTTAACATAGAATCAAAGTAGGAATGTACAACATTCAATTGATCCTCATTTTTAATCAATCACTTAGCAAACCCAGCCTTCCTTGAAAAGCTTAAAAGTTGGGAAGTGTAGCTACTTGTACCTTTTAGCTGCCAGAAAGAAGGCTCAGCAGTGTCAGTTGTCCTGTCTTTAATCATTTTCACACAAAGCAGACATCATGTTCTATGGCTGCTTATTTTAACAATGTCTTTGATAGCAAACTTCCCCGAGGCATGGCCTGAGCCAGGCAGCCATTTCTGAAATTATAATGACCCAGTCAAGGTTAAGCTTGCCTTGTTCAGCCAGGATATTATACATTTTGAACCAGAGGTATGCATTAAAATAAATTAGCTGTGGGTTGTAGCTGAAGCTCATCTCCCCCTTAGGGAATTATTTCTCTATATTTCAGATATAGAGAGGCGCATCCCATTATCTAATAATGCATTCATTTTAGTGTCCTGTACTTTAGTTTCGGGCTCGCTACAAGATAAATTGGATGGGCCGTAATAAGAAAACATTATGAAAGATAAAGGATAGGGATGATTTAAAATCCATTGAGGTGTCTCTGATATTTAACGCTACAGTGATTGTTTATGGACAATGTAAAAACTGCTCTGTATTTAACAAACATTTGTTTTTGTCTAATGGTTGTTTAAAAGTGAATATTGGCTCTGTTTTTTTAAAAATGATTTTCCCAACCTCTCTGTAGTCATGTACTGAGCCACACAAAATGATTAGCCACCCAAATGCAAAAACTATTCTTTCCTCTCCAGAAGTACAAAAGTCCCACTCTCTGAAGCTGACAACTAGAGAATAGTTATATCAATTCCATACCACAACTATCCAAGGATTTATAATTTGAAGCGGTGCATATAATTATCTGCTTGGGAGGTCTAGTGCTTTAGTTTCCAGTCTTTGATCCTTTCCCAGAATGCCTGATCAGTGGTAAAACTGGCTGAAGATTCTGTGAGTTGAAGTGAAAAACAGCTAGAGCAGGGGTCCCCGGACTTTTTGATTTGGGGGCTGGTTCGCTGGCCCCCAGATTTTCTGGGATGCCATTTTGGTAGGAAGGCCTTGGCGGGCCGAGTCCGGCCTGTGGGCTGTAGTTTGGGGACCCCTGAGCTAGAGAGACAGTCTGGTTGAGGATTCTGGGAGCTGGAGTGGAAAAACAACTAACTTGAAGTGGTTCCCAAACTTTGGTCCTCCAGATGTTTTGGACTTCCATTCCCAGAATTCCTGACTGTTGGACAAACTGGCTGGGGCTTCTGGGAGCTGAGGTCCAAAAAAACCCTGGAGGACCAAAGTTTGGGAATCGCTGAGCTAGGGGTACAGTCTGAGAATTGCTGCTCTAGTCCATTTGCTCAACTCCCAAAGTACTCTGAGTGCCAGTCTATACTACAAAATCAAACTGATTTAACTGATTTACTCCGCAATCCTTTTCTTCTCAGGGTGCTTTGGTACCCTCACATGACCTCACCACACTACTAATCCCTTCGTTCCTCATGATGGAGACATGACAGGTAAGTGTCAACAAATCCCCCTATTCCTCAGCATGCAGACATAACACTTCAAGTGGTATCAAACCCATGTAATGGTGTGGTGCAGATACAACTGTACTGTCTCTCTATAGACATATAATTATACTTGTGCATACCATTGCCCCTGTTTCTGATGTTCAGATGTGAGATCCACTACTGATGTAGCCAAAATGACAGGGAGTCAGGCTTGACAGGGAATTATCAGTGGATTTAAGGATAATCCTGAGTTTTCCATTAATAGTCATAATATTAAAATACTGGAAAAGAAAAAAAGCTCTGGGGGAGGAGAAACCCCCATGATCAACAGCAGAGTAGGAACTGAATGTACAACTGGGTCTCCAAGGCAGTAGCTTTTTTCTGGATCTCCCTTCCAGATTTCGGCATCCTTGCAGAGTTATTCTGTGGGTTTGAGTTGCTCTGAGGACAGAATGAACTCCAAGTGACTTTAACCCGCAGTGGCAGTGCCAACCAGTTTGCAAGGACCACATAGGAAGGCAGCTAACTGTTGCTGCCATGTTTTGCTGCAGAAGGTAAGGGGGAAGATTCAGGTGGAATTTGGGGCCAGAATCCTCCGGTGGCAGCGTGGACGATTCTGGTAAGTGCAGACAAGCCCAAGGAGAACAAAATAACAATTGTTCTCTGAAATCCTCTCCTATTGACTCCCCAAACTCTAGCAGGGAAAAGACATAATTTCTGTTTACCAAAGACTGAACTTTGAAGATGCCTCTAATATGTTTCCTGTCTTCTAATATGCCTAGAAAGCCTTAAGGGTTTCTAAGCCATTGTGTTTAGAATGAAAATCTCTCACAAGAACTTGAATTATTTGGCTGCCTGCTGAGTGCATGAGTATATACTGGAATGAATGTGAAAGGACACCATGTGTTGAGACCTCTGAGCCTGTTAAGCTGTATTGCCTTCACTTCCAAGGAAAGTACTTTTGTCATTTTTCTCTCCTGATGTATGTTTTAGTACAGCTGGATTTGTCTGGTGTGGTTTACTTTGCAGACTAGTATATTAACCTTTCTCAGTAGGTTGCTATGGCTGAACATACACAGCCAGTAAATAATGTTTCATATGACTGTCCAGAATAAAAAACAACCCACATTGTGCTGGACTATTATTTTGTTATTAATATTCCTTGTGTTCTAAACAAGAGGATTGAATTTCTAGCTACATAAGGATTTGAATTTCAGATTTCTTTTGTAACATAATGGCTGATTTATATCTGTCTTTGATTGTGTAATAGTGTAATAAGGGATGCAGTGGCTCAAGTGGTTAAGACCAGGGGTAGGCAACCTTTCCCCTTTAAGGGCCGATGGACTTCAGCTCCCAGAAGCCTCAGCCATGTTGGCCAATAGTCCCATGTTGGCCAATAGCTCCTGGGATTCTGGGAGCTGAAGTCCCTCGGCCCTTAAAGGGGAAAGGTTGCCTGCCCCTGGTTAAGACGCTGACTCTGTTGATTGCAATATTGTTAGGTTGGCTGTTCGAAGCCCGGGTGCTGCATGATGGGGTGAGCTCCTGTCACTAGTCCCAGCTTCTGCCAATCTAGCAGTTCGAAAGCATGCAAATGCAAGTAGATAAATA